GACATTCTTGTCTTTAGCCTTAAAGGAAAAGAGAAAGCCTTTTCCATTTGCACCAGTTTGAAATATTTCAAATAAGGCTCCCTTAAAATGGATTACTACAGTACTCATTCACAGGAGAGTTCATACATGTAGTAAAAAGACAAATACAGGACTTCATGGTCACTTTTTTTGGTTGATTTGGTTAATTGCATAAAGTGGGGTAAATATACACATAATCTGTTTAACAAAACTCCTAGGTACATCAGAATGCAAAATATAAAATGCCCAAAAGAGACTCTGATCAGCAGGCACATCGAATTGCAGTGAAGCCTGTATCAGCTTGGTTCCTCCCACTTCAGCATTCCTATGAGGAGCTCTTTCTCTCCTACTGGAGCCTGGACCTTTGACCTCACAGAAAGGAACCTAAGAAGGCAAGGCATTCTAATAAAATGCGCCTGGGCCTTTACATGGGACATTTTATTTTTAATCTAAAAAGATCCACTGGTCTTGGTCAGCCTTAGAAAGCGAAGCATCACTCAGGTAAAGTATCTGGAGGAACTTTAAACACCTAGCTACCTCTTCACGCATTTAAATTAGATTAGCTTCAGCCATTCTTAGAAAGCATTCCATATAGTTATCCAGAGCACTCAAGTTTTGGTTCTCTTTTACATAGCTGCATTCAGAGATACTCTGTATGAGACATGTTTAAAAAAAAGAGAAACACTTATACCTGGAATTTATATTCTTCCAAGTAATCTTTTAGTCTCGTCGGTAAAGGCAATCCCCAGATGGCACCAGTACATTTGTTAATGGTGAGCCTACAGAGATGCTGCAGAGATGGTGCTGACGTGTAGAGAGGTTTGGTCAGATAAAGGTGAACAGTGCCGTTCCGGGGGGCTTCTGGACCTGTCCGCTTATCCTTGCACATCTGAACATAGTAGTCGATCAGATGAACCACACTGTCAAACTGTTTAAGCTTGGACTTGACACATACGATAGAGTCCAATCTGAATTTCCCCTCTTGGTATTCGATTCGAAGATTAGTTGGTCCAGCTGATGTTTTAACAGATATTGTTAGTAGGTAGTCTGAATGCGAGCTATCTCTAATCAAGAAAGTTCCTTCTGGTGCCTCTTTTAATTTCTCTTTGGCTTCATTAACAGTCATACTTCCCCAGTACCATCCTGGGGTTTTTGTTCAAAAAGGAAAAGAAAAGAGGGTAAAACCGTTATTATAATAATTTTTAGAACAGAGCGAGTAATTGGCAATAATTTTTTAGCGCTAAAAAACAAAGTTGTGTGAGTGATAGTTTACCAGGGGCCACCACAAATACTTTCGGTAGAAATTTAATAAAAATGTTGGTCCATTTTGCAAACACAAACGGCAAGCCAGTTTTCTTTCTTTCTTTTGTAAAAAATAACTTTCTGAAGCTCTTCTTAAAATTTTCTTCTAATGAACCAAAAGAACATTTGCAGCATGCCACACTGGCTGATGAAGCATGATACTTTTAACTCTATTTCAGTAAAATAAAGATTTAAGTAAATTAGAAATACATCAGAAGTTAGAAATTAAAGCCATGCCCTTTAAAAAGTGAAAATCCCAACTCCTGTAATTTAACTGGAGTAAAAACAGAAGCAACTTTTTTGGATGGTTGGTGCCACCCCCAAAAAGAAACTGCAGAGTCTGCTGTGAACAGCCTGCTCTGTAGAAAGCACTGCTATGTACTTGTTGTAAAAGCACAGTTCTAGTACAATAGCTTCTGTTCGCTGCTTTATGACTACCTTATCAGTCACTGAGAAATGGGAAGTCCCAAGTGATAATTACTACTTCAAGTGTACAATCTTCCCTAAACTCTTTTGGACTTTGCCCTAATCCAAATCCAATCACAACCATTGGTCTCCCCTGCATTCTCGATTTCATTTGTCTGCACCACCTCCCCGGCCCATGCTGCTTTCTAAGGAGGCTCAAAGATCGTCTATATTTAAGAAATTTGAACATTTGTGCTCCCCACACCCCCACCATTACCAGGATACTTGGCAATCCGCTGGTGCCTCCCCGGGAGGGAAAGCCCATGGCCCACAAGGAAAGACTGGAATCGCAAGCGAGGGAGATTTTCCCTCTCCCTCCCCATGTTGCTACCAAAATTTCAACTGTGCCACAACTGTAAGCTTTTAGGATACGGATCTGAAAAGCCAGAATGATTTGCCAGATACTTTACCTTTTTTTTTTTTTTTTTTTTCTTTTTACAGAAGCTTAGAGAGGACAGCGTGCCGCGCAAATTGCCTGACTGCACTTGAAACCTGCAGTCCCCTGGGCTTGCCGACCCTGAAAGCCGCGCTCGGCGGGGGCTTTGCAGCCTGCTCTCCACGCCCAGGCAGCCGCCCTTGCGGCAGTGTCAGTCCTTAAACTTGGCCGCCAAGATCCTGGGCTGAAGCGGCAGCTCCGCCCGGGAGCCGGATGCCGCTGGGCCTGGGGAGCCCGTGGCGCCCACTTGCTGATTGCACACCGCGCAAAGGGAGGCGCCGGATGCTTTCCCCGGGTGGGGTTCGAGCCCGAGCCGCCTAACCCTGAGCCGCTGCGAAAAATAGTAAAGCTTCCAGCGTGCTAAGAAGCCATTTCCAAGAAGCCCCTTCCGAGCTCTGCGCTCCGCCAGGCCTGAGTCCCTGGAGAACCACTTTCCTTACGCATTCCCAAGGACTCAGGACCCTGCAAGCGTGCTCTCCGCGGTCCCCCACCCTGGAGCGAAGATTGGTAGCAAGGAAACGTATTTCCATCCTACTCTTGGCTTCCCACCTCGGCCCCGCTTCCTGGCTGCGTCTTTGGGGAGGCGCCCCCTCCCGCACGTGCCGCGGCCAGTCGGCTCCCTACCTGTCTGACTGAGCTCTCGCAGGGCCTTCGCCAGACGCGCCGCCTCCGGGGATGGCTCCTCCACCGATCCCGCGGTCCCCCACTGACTCCCAGTCCCTTCTCCGCCATTCCCGGAGGGCTCGAGGCACCGCAGGGTCATGGGAGAAGGGTCACCGCGGCAAAGACAGGTGGTCGCCCGAGCTGGGGTTAGAGAACGGTTCGCGTCCTTCCTGGAAGTCAGGGCGAATCCCAAAACGAGTCCCTGCGGGGTGTCCGAAATGGTGGCAGAGAGGGAAGGGATGGGGTTCTTTCTCCCCAGGTCCCGGAGGACTGACGACAAAGTCCCTCGCAGACGCGGTCACCCACTGATTGCCTACAAAGAGAAAGCGGGAGGTTGGGTCAGTCCAAACTGGACCCCTGCGGCTGGGTGGGGGTGGGGAAATAGACGTGGAAAATCCCAGGGACTCCTCCGTCTCTACGCTCCTGCACCGTTTAACCCCAAGCATCCAGTTAGCGCCCTGGCCCAGCTGTAGAGAAAGGATAAAGAGAGCAGGGATCCAAGACACAAAGTTGGCTAGGGAGGTGGGGGGCGGAGGTCAGGATGAGGGTGAACAGGATGTCTTCCCGCCCAGGGCCACTCCCTGAAATCAAAGACTGGTGGCCTAGGAAGGGCAAATAGTCACCTGCAGATCTAGTGGGAATAGGCCCTTGTCAAGGACAAGTAGAAAAAATTTTAAAGGAAAGAGCAGGAGACATTCCCCAAATTGGCATTCCCGTCTCACACCTGGGCAGCCCGAAGGCCTCCGGGAAGAAGCACCCACACAAACTTGGTTCTCCACCCTAAAGAGCCGGGGGACACCGAGGCACCAACCTCGGGTTCGGAGGTGCGGGAACTTCCGCGTCCCCACCCGGGAGGCTCCTTGCTCCCCTCCCCCCACTTCCCGGTGCCCGCTTGGGCGGAGTTGGGGGCGCCGCGGCGGCCGTTCCCGGAGTAGGATGGTAGCGGCAGCTCTCGCAGCCGCCGGCGCTGTCGAGGAATCCGCCCGAGCGCGCAGCCTTCGCGGGGCTCCGAACCGAGGCCGGGGCCGAACGGGCGGTCGCGAGCGCTGCGGGAAGTGCAAACCACCAACGCCGCACTCTTACCTCGACCTCCGCCGCGACTGCCGCCGCTGCCTCCGCGCCAGGCAGCTTCCTCAGTGGACATGGGGCGGGGGGAGCCGGGAGGGGCCTGGGAGAGGAGGGGCGTCTGCCCTTGTTTCCCCCGTTAACGTTTAATTTGGGAACAAGATGCACGGGGATGCGACCAGCCCCGCGCTCGGCGGCGGCTGGAGTTCTGTGCGCAGAGGGCACACAAAAGCCCGGAGGATCATTGCCTTGACCCCCTCCCCCACCGCACGGCGACGCCCCCTCCGGGCTGGGACACCCCCACCCTGGGACTGCAGCCGGGTTTCCCTCCGGCTGCGACCCGGGAGGTGGGAAGGAGAGAGGGGAGGAGGAAAGAGCGAGGGCGGGAGGCAGGCCGGTGGGGAGGAGCGGGAGATCAGGTTATTAGGAGGATTATTAATTTGAATGGCAGTTTAGGGAAAATTAAAAAAAAGAAACTCCAGACACTTCCAGACTCCAAGAAGGGACCAGAGAAAGCAGGCAGCAACGCCCGGCCGCCGGGCAGAGCCGCGGCTCAGACTCTCCCCCGCGCTCGGAGCTGCGGAAGCCCAGGCCGACCGCCGCTCAGGCGGCCCGCTGCTCCCCAGCGCACGCGGCCGCGCCCGGCCGCCCTCCGCGGCAATTCTCCTCGGGGCGGAGCCTTCAGGCCCCCCCTCCACCGGTACCTGCCGCGGGTTCCCGAGCTGCGGGCGCGGGGGATCCTAAGGCGGTGCGCCCCGGTCACCGGCGCGCACTGTCCGCGGCCCACGCGGTGAGGGTGGCTGCGGGCGAGAGGGCTCATGCTTCAAGGGAAGCCCAAGGCCCGCCAGCCGCAACGGCGGCGACAAGACTTGGCAAGAGTTAAATGTTGGTCCCAGGAGCTGCCAGTGCGCGCGACTTCCCAGCCCGACGCGCCTCCCTCGCCCCACGCCTCCCTCCCTCCACGCCTCCCTCCCCAGCCGGCGTTCTACTCTCGCCCCACCCGGCTGCCGCGGAGGCCGCTTTCCAGGAACTTTCCAGGAATCGGCCTCACGTGACCGCGAGCCCCGCTACCGCTTTAAAGAGGCGCGGGCGCAATACAGAGGCTTCAGGAAAGACCTGCTGAGAGCGCTCCGGTGCAGGGTGGGCGGTGTGCACGCCGGGGTGTGCCGGCCTCTGGCCTCACACCCCGGGGTGCTCCGGGGCGAGCTGGAAAAGTCCCCGGCCACAGTCAACCCCGTTTCGGCGGCCGGAGCCTGCCCCCTTCCCGGGCCAGCTGAGCGCCGGGGTTCAGGGAAGTATAGCTGTCCGGCCTGCCACGGGGGATGGGTTCCTCTAAACAGTCCGGCGGCGCCCCCTTGACGCGACTCTCCTGGCCGCTCATTTGGGGGGTGAGTGCAGGAGAGACTGTGGGTCCCCGGAAACCGACCTCTCTGTCTCTAAGACACATTGATGGCACCGGGACCCCCCGCTCGGCTCGGTGCTCACGGCCGGGGACCGGCGGCGGTCCCCTTGATGCGGTCCTGGAAGGCAGCGAGCAGGAGAGCAGCGCCTCCTTAAGTGGCGCCGGCCGTCCTTAGTCCCCTCCCCCTGGCGCTCCGGCTGGTTGTCACCCGCATCCACCCAGCGCCTCCCTTCCTCCTTTCCTCCGCTCCAACGTCTCCGGTATGCCCGGCGGCCCGCCCCGCTCACCTGCGCCGACCGCTAAGGGGGCGCCCTTACCTGCGCCTCGGTGAGGGGCTGGGTGACGGGCCGCGGTTCCTGCAGTCCGGAGAGCGTTTCTGCCATTCCCTGCAGGGCTAGCGCCCCAGGGCCGGGAATTCGGAAGGATCCCGGCACCTCTACCCTACCTGGGATTCTCACCTGCCACCTCGTTGGAGGCCACCTGGCCTTAGTGGAAACTCATCTCCTTGTCTGCGCACCCGCCCCCGAAATGTGACCTACTTGAAATGTGACCTACTTAAAAAAAAAAAAAAAAATTAACAATCACAGGAAAACCGGATCCAAGATTTCGATAAACATTTTTCTTTGAAATACTATTCTATTGCATCACTGCTCAAAAGCTTGAAAGGTCAATGGCCACTTTTAGTTGAAGCCGTGGCTGTGGGAAGTTGGGCGAGGAAGGGGGAGGGGTGGGAGGGAGGCGCGGCTTCCAAACCTTGCCTGGTGCCCCCCCTGCCGGCTCTGAGAGAAAACGTGAACCAGCTCCCAACCTTGGGGTCTGGAGCCAGGGACCAATGGTTTTCTCAATAACTTTCCTGCTATTCAGTAGATAACTCTATGCACATAATAAGCTGGTGAGTCGGGAGGGGGGCATTTCCCAGCTAACAAAGAGCTTTGTTAACGCTGGGGCCGTGTGCACGTAATCATGTTTCGTTTTTTAGAAAGAGCCTTTGATAGGACCCTAAAGTCCTCTACGAAGTAGTTGGAGAATTTTGCACAAGGCACTTACCCTCTTTGGACCTCTGGCTCTTTTTATAACATGAAGGGCTAGACTCAGGTTCTGGGTGAGGGACTGGGATAAATGAACAGATCAGATTCCATGTGAAGCCTGTGTACAGTCTGACGCCCCACGCCTTTAAGAAACACTATGTCTACTAGGGTTAACTGACCTCTAAATTATCCTAATATGGCTTCTTCCTTGGTGGAGAATCCTAGAGGAAGGGTGTACCCACACTTTAGCTTGAGTGAAAAAGTATTTATTCCTAAAATTGGGTTTCAGGGGGAGGAGGGGACTGCACCAAGTCTTGCTCTATCACCCAGGCTGGAGTTCCATGGGGCGATCGCAGCTCACTGCAGCCTTGGCCTCCCGGATTCGAGTGATTCACCTGCCTCAGCCTCCGGAGTAGCTGGGATTATAGGTGCCAGCCATCACGCCCGGCTAATTTTTGTATTTTTAGTAAAGATGGGTTTTCACCCTATTGGCCAGGCTGGTCTTGAACTCCTGGGCTCAACAGATGCTCCCGCCTCAGCCTCTCAAAGTGCTCCGGCCCTAACATTTGTATAAAGTAAATTTAATATCTACTTGGTTGTGGGTTGAAACGAATCTTCCAGCAACTCCTTTTTTATGTGCTCCTGTTGCCTCGGCACATGCTGTTCTCTCTTTCTAGAAAGCTCCAACCCTGATGGCTGCATCACACTTGATTAAAAGAATCCTGGCTGGAGGCTGGGCATGGTGGCTTATGCCTGTAATCCCAGCTCTTTGGGAGGTCAAGGTGGGTGGATAATTTGAGGTCGGGAGTTCAAGACCAGCCTGGCCAACATAGTGAGACCCTATCTCTACTAAAAATACAAAAATTAGTGGGGTGTGGTGGTGTATGCCTGTAATCCCAGCTACACAGGAGGCTGAGGCAGGAGAATGGCTTGAACCTGGGAGGTGGAGGTTGCAGTGAGCCAAGATCATGCCTCTGTACTCCATCCTAGGGAACAGAGCCAGGCTATCTCAAAAAAAAAAAAAAAAAAAAAATCATGGCCAGGGGCAGTGGCTCACACCTGTAATCCCCCAGCACTTTGGGAGGCCAAGGCAGGTGATTCACTTGAGGTCAGAAGTTCATGACCAACCTAGCCAACATGGTGAAACCCTGTCTCTACTAAAAATACAAAAATTAGCTAGGCATAGTGGCACAAGCCTGTAATCCCAGCTACTTGGGAGGCTGAGGCAGGAGAATTGCTTGAACCCGGCAGGTGGAGGTTGCAGTGAGCCCAGACTGAGCCACTGCACTCTCCAGCCTAGGTGGCAGAGGGACACTCTGTCTCAAAAAAAAAAAGAATCCTAATAGCCACTTGCAAGATCCTACACTACAAGACCAGGTTCTATTTACCTCTCTGACCTCATTTCCTCCTGCTCTGTTCCTTGATCACTCTGTTCAAGTTACACTGGACTCCTTGCTAATTCTAGAACTCATTAGCCTTGCCCCTGTTTCAGGGTCTTTGTATTTACCATCTCTTCCACCTTTCATGCTCTTCTTTTAGATAGCTGCAAGGTTTGCTCCCTCACTTCCTCAAATATTTATTTAATGCCACTTTCTTAGTGAGACTTTGCCTGTTCCCTGACTCAGAATTGACCCTCCCCCTGCACATTTTTCTCTCCTCTCTGCTCTAGTTTTTTCCTTAATCGTGATCACCATCTAACCTAGTTTATGTCTTCTTTCTCCAACTTACTATCTTTCTCACTACCTCTGCTTCATGGATTTATACTTGCATTGTTCACAGCTGTACTTTAGCACCTTGAATAGTTCCTACCATGCAGTAGGGATCCAATATAATCATTGAATGAATGGATGGATGAAAGAATGAGTGCATTAGCACCATGGCTTTAAAGTTAAGCTGCCCAGGTATGAATCCTCACTCTGCCACCACTTGCTGCATATGTGATTTTTGGCAAATTATTTAGCCTTTTATGGAGATAATCATGGTACCTACCTTACAGGGCTGTTGTGAGAATTAAGTGAGATAATCTATGAAAAGTGCTTTGGAACTTAACAATTAATAACAGTTAGCTGTTATTTGAACTATCATCCTCTTAATCTCAGTAAGTTTGGATGTTTCTCTCTGGATAAGATTGTCTTACATTTGCCTATGTAAAATTCAATGGTCGACTCCACCCCCACTAAACCTCCCATCCTGTGGCTTCCAGAGAACTTCATGTAGTTGGTTCCCTGGAGCACCCCTTTGGCTTTAAAATTTACAGGTATCCAAAGTGATTCCATTTGTCCCCAGATTTTCAGACCATATCTGTTTAGTAGGCAGGTTCATGGCTGCAGTGATGAACAGTTATTCTCCATGAGGAGGAAAAGGAGAAGATTTTCACAAAGCTGGAGCATTTCCTCCACTGCCTGCACTGAGGAGTTGCCAAGGCTTGAAAATCTTCTCTGTGTGCCAAACCAGAACTGGACATTTCTGGTTTTGCAATGCAGACATTCTAATACTGGAATTGACAAATGCTCCACACTGACCTACTGCCAAATTGTCAGGAGGGTTTTTCAGTGTTTGTTTGGGGGAGAGGGGAACAAGGGGACAATAGGGTGGCCTTTGGCAATTGTGTCTGACACACCTGTGGGCAGAAGGTAGGCTTCGAGTGTCCACCATCTCTTCCTTTTTGAGTTTGCCATCTCCCTGCCTCCACCACACACACAGCACCCTAGAGACTCCCTGTGATCCTGGGATGCACTCATTGAAGAGTGTGTGACCCAGGTGGGCCAATAGGAGTGCCTTGAGCTCTTGGATATAGAGGTTTGTCCAGTATCACAAGTCCAGTAGAACCAACAAGATTATTTTTCTTTTTTTTTTTTTTTTTTTGCATTAATTATTTTTATTTACAGAAAGTTATTTACATTTAACCCAGTTTCGTGGCAAGTTCTTTAGCCTTTGCCTTTTCTAGCTTGGCGATGCGAGCCACAGACTTGGGACCCAGGACATTGCCTCCCCAGTGACGCCGGATCTCATCATATCTGTCATTGTAGTTGGTGCGAATAGCTTCCACCAGCTTAGCCAAAGCACCTTAGTCTTCCAGATTAACATGTGTGAAGGCGACAGTGGTGCAGGTCTTCCTATGTACTAGACGTCCCAGTCTTGCCTTCCCCTTGATGATGCAGTAAGGGACTCCCATTTTACGACAGAGGGCAGGCAAGAAGACAACCAGCTCAATGGGATCCACATCGTGTGCAATCACCACCAGCTGAGCTTTCTTGTTCTCCACCAAGGTGGTGACGCTGTTAACTCCTGCTCGGAGGACAGGTGGTCTCTTAGTGGGGACATCCCCTTTGCCAGCCGCTTTTTTCTCGGCCCAGGCCAACAGCCTCTGCTTCTTTTCTTGCTTCGTCTCTGGTCTATAATTGTGGGCCAGCTTGAGCAGCTGAGTAGCTGTTTGGCGGTCCAGGGCTTGGGTGAACTGGTTAATTGCAGGGGGCACTTTCAGCCGCTTATAGAGGATGGCTCTCTGCCGCTGCAACGTGATATAGCGGGGCCATTTCACAAAGTGGGTGAGGTCTCTTTTGGGCTGGATATCTTGTCCAATGCCAAAATTTTTAGGCCTTTTCTCAAATAGTGGATTCACCACTTTCTTGGCCTCCTGCTTCTTAACGACAGCAGGGGCCGGAGCCACCTTCTTCCCCTTGGCCTTCTTTCCTTTCGGCATCTTGGGCGACGGGAAGAGAAAAAACAAGATTATTTTTCTTTTCAGGATTTGATAGAAATGCTCCAAGAAAAGCAGGCTGTCCCTTCTGAAATGATGAGTGGTAATGACCATGCAGGTCAACTTTTCCACCACTTAGAGGGAGCCTGGCAAAGAACAAAGACAATAGAGAAGAAAGCAGAGCTGAGGCTGAGTGAGAGGGAGAAATTCCTGTGTGCTTGAATCCCACATGCCTGAAGGTGCACCACACTTGGTCTTCTCAATACAGGAGCCAGTGAGTTTATTTTTTCCTGATCTGGTTGGATTTGGGCATTCTCAAGGGTTCGGGGCTTGGGTGTGGGGGCATTTAAGGGAGAGTAGAATGCAGAATTGAGAAGGGAAAGAAGAGAGCTGCCTTCCACTTTAATGAGTATCTCCTAATTTTCCTCTGGTGCTTCTCAGCACAAGTCCCTTTTACAATGTACTACTTGCTCCATCCCCATAACGGAGGACACCATAACGGAGGACACTCACTGGTAGACAAAGGAAGAGGGAGAGGAGCAGAGCAGATGCCACCTCAGCCTCCCTAGTTGCTGAGACCACAGGTGTGCACCACAACGCTGACTATAAATCCCCAGGGGTCTGTTGACCTCAGGTGAGAGGACTTGTTCTAAGGGGTGGTGGAAGGTCTTTATTAAGGTACTCCTGAGAGATAAAAGTCAGCCTTCGGCAGCATTGTATGACACTTTTTTTTTTTTTTTAAGAAACTGTCTCTGTCACCCAGGCTGGAAGACAGTGGCACAATCTAGGCTCATTCCAACCTCAAACTCCCAGGCTCAAGCAATTTTCCCACCTCAGCCTCCCTAGTTGCTGGGACCACAGGTGTGTACCACAACACCTGGCTAATTTTTGTACTTTTTGTCTCCCATTATTGCTCAGGCTGGTCTCAAACTCGCAGACTCAAGTGATCCTCCCACCTCAGCTGCCCAAACTGTTAGGATTACAAGTGTGAGCCACTGCACCTGGCTGGTGCTCTCTTTATTGGAACTGGTTTGTATAGTCAGAGGATAATCAATCAATAAGACTTTGGTGCTGGGCAGGATACTATTTTACTAGTGCAGAATAAATTTCTTTCTTTCTTTTCTTTTTTTTTTTTTTTTTTTTTTTTTTTTTGATAAGTTTTTTTTTTTTTTTGCTTTGTTTCCCAGACTGGAGTGCAATGGCTGATCTCAGCTCACTGCAACCTCTGCCTCCCAGGTTCAAGCAATTCTCCTGCCTCAGCCTCCTGAGTAGATGGGATTACAGGCGCCCACAACCATGCCCAACTAATTTTTGTTTTTTTTTTTAAGAAAGTTGGGGTTTCACCATGTTGATCAGGCTGGTCTCAAATCCTGACCTCAGGTGATCTGCCTGTCTCCGCCTCCCAAAGTGCTGGGATTACAGGAGTGAGCCAACCCTCCGGCCTCTTTATCTCTTTTCTTCTCCCCCATGATACTCTAACCTTCTGGTTTCCTTATTTCCCAAATACCACAATCCTGCCTCAGGGCCTTTGTACCTGTTGTTCTCTTTGAAATGCCCTTTCCCTAATAGTCTCATGTCGCTACTCTCATGCATCTGTAAGTGAGGGAACCAAAACACTTTGCCACCTTCTTTCTGCCCTGTATCCACTTTTTTTAAAATCTTCCCTTACTTAGATGTGCTTCCCAGGTTACTCTTTGGCTTACCCCTCAGATTCTGGTCTGCTACCAAGTGGAGCTTGGCTTTCTTGAAGTTTCTGCTTAATCTCCATGAGGCTGACCCCACAACAACAGTACCTAGCAGACAGCATGAGAGAGATTCAGGAAGTCGACAAACATGCATGAGTACTTAACAAGTGTCCCAGGCCTTATAGAACCCACTAGGGGGACTCAGCCTTCCTCTTAAAGAGGTCTAGGTCTAGTAAGAGAGAAACCATCCACAGATTATTCTAACAAAGGGTGAGAAGTCATGGGAGAGTACACAGAATGGTTTTGCAGGCAGCCAGAAAAGCACCATTGCAATCACCTTGGGATGTCCAGAAAGACATCACAGTAGAGGGATCCTGGACAGAGTCCCCTAACATCTCTGGATTTTTGTTTTCCCATCTGTGTCATGACAAATTTAAACTGGATGAGCTATTAAGTTTCCTTCTCCTTTGAATCACCTCCAACCTCTTTTCCATGACCTTGCTAAGAGCAGTTGATGGTGTTGTTAGACGTAAGCCTGGTCAGCCTCTAGGTATGTTTGACTTTCCAGAGAAGTTCAGAAAGGTCAAGGCCTGGTGTGACGATGTGGTAAGCAGAGCAGGCAGAAGAAATACCGATCAGTAAAGAACAAACACCACCCCTGGCTTAGTTATGGAATTCTGAGAAGCAGCAGCACCCAGTGAACCAACCTGCAGGCTGGCAATCACGGGTGAGACTACCTTTAGCCAAGGCGTGTGGCAGAGCCACATGAGGGAGGCTCTATAAACAGCAGCACTTCCTCAAACCACAGGACAACTTCTATATACATTCCACATGGAAAGGCCAGCTGATCACACATATAGGCCTTTTCTACTATCCTACCACATTAAATTTACAGCCATAGTAATCATGTCCCACCGTAAAGGAAAGTGATATAATAATATCAGTTTGCCTTTATCAGTTTGTATTTATTTATGGTTTTAATCTCTCTTCACTGACATCTTATACCACATGCCTGATTTTATTCTTGTAGCAACCCTTTGATGATGGTAGAAAAAGTACTTACCTCACATATAAGTAAATTAAACCAAAGCACATTAAATAGATTATTCTGTACTTGTAAACAAATTGTCCTTAGGAAAATAGTATAGGGTTTAGTATAAATAAAAGTAACATTTTAAGTGACAAAGTAGCTTGTCAAGTAAGTTGCTTTTAAAATAGGCAATTCAAATCACTGAGTACTATTCCAACAAATCTAACTATAATATTCTCAAATGTAATTTACAATATTTAAACATAGGACAGGGATAAAGAATTGAGGGAAATTTTTTATTTTTCCTGTTTTGTTATCAAAAACTCCCAATCCAAAAAATGGTTACATTTCAGTATGTGCCAACAATTCTAAAATAAATACTAAAGTCAAGTCTTGTTTCTTATGAAAGCCAAAAAAATAAAAAATAAAAACCAGAGAGAAAGCAGCATGCTGGTAAGTCCTGCCAATTTACCTGGCTTTTCCAATGCTTGCTGAGAAGGAGGTTTTGTTTTTTTCTTAATTACAAGTTTCCCTGAGCCAGTTACTCTTTTCTAAATTTTTCTCCCATTTTTAAAAGAGGCAAATTTGTCTGACAGAGCCATCAGATAAATCCTTGTCTTCCTTCTATTTTTAGCCCAAAGTCTATAGTGCCTCCTACTTTGCCACAACCACAAAGATCCCCCTGCCACATGTTCGTTGTCAAAAGATCATACTGTGATCTATTGATTCCAGCCATTGAATGGACAACAATAATAATAGCATAAGATGATATGAATAAATACATAGATGATCACTGTAGCAACTGGGGCGTCGGAAGCTAGTTCCGTGCCAACATCCCACACAAAAACCACCACAAAATAAAACACAAACTACTAAAGCTTATTCAAGAAGTAGATTGGTGATGTACCTTCAGAATAAATAAATAAACAAACAAACAATAAAAAGAAAATGGATAACTTTATAGCCCTATTTCTATTAAGGAAAGGAACTCTCCAGGTTCAGAAGCCTTCATTGGTGAATTCTTGGTGGAAAAATAATATCCACCCTACATAAAGTTTAAAAGAAAATAATCACAGAAGTGAGAACATTTAACAACTTGTATTAGGAGGCCAACATCTGTCTTGCCCTGTCATACCAAAGACAGGCAAGAGAAAAGATAATTATAGACCAACATCTTTCATTTTAAAATTGTTTTTTAATTTCAGGTTCTGGGGTACACATGCAGGATGTGCAGGTTATAAATGCGTGCCATGGTGGTTTGCTGCACCTATCTTCCCATCACCTAGGTATTAAGCCTGGTATGCATTAGCTGTTTTTCCTGATGTTCTCACTCCCCCTGCCTCCACCACCCCTATAGGCCCCAGTGTGTGTTCTCCCCCTCCCTGTGTTCATGTGTTCTCACTGTTCACTTCCCACCTGTAAGTACCTGAGAACATGTAGTGGTTGTTTTTCTGTTTCTGCATTAGTTTGCTGAGGATAATGGCTTCCGGCTTCATCCATGTCCCTGCAAAGGACATGATCTCTTTCCTTTATTTGGCTGCATAGTATTTCATGGTGTATATGTACCACATTTTCTTTTGTTTTGTTGTTGTTGTTGTTGTTGTTGTTTGGAGACGGAGTATTGCTCTATCGCCCAGGCCTGAGCGCAGTGGCACAATCTCGGCTCACTGCCACCTCCACCTCCAGGGTTGAAGTGATTCTCTTGCCTCAGCCTTCTAAGGAGCTGAGATTACAGGTGTCTGCCACCACCCCCACCCCCAGCTAATTTTTTGTATTTTAGTAGGGACAGGGTTTTACCATGTTACCCAGGCTAGTCTTGAACTCCTGACCTTGTGATCTGCCTGCCTCAGCCTCCCAAAGTGCTGGGATTACAGGCGTGAGCCACCGCACCTGGCCCCCCTTTTTTTTTTCAAGACAGAGTCTCACTCTGTCGCCCCGCTCTGTTGTGATCTTGGCTTACTGCAACCTCCATCTCCCGGGTTCAAGCGATTCTCCTGTCTCAGCCTCCAGAGTGGCTGGGACTACAGGTGCATGCCACCATGCCCAGCTAAGTTTGGTATTTTTAGTAGAGATGGGGTTTTACTGTGTTGGCCAGGATGGTCTTGATCTCTTAACCTCGTGATCTGCCCACCTCAGCCTCCCAAAGTGCCAGGATTACAAGTGTGAGCCACCGTGCCCAGCCTATGTACCACATTTTCTTTCTCCAGTCTATTGTTGATGGGCATTTAGGTTGGTTCCATGTCTTTGCTATTGTGAATAATGCTTCAGTGAACACATGCATACATGTGTCTTTATAATAGAATGATTTATATTCCATTGGGTATATACCCAATAACAGAATTGCTAGGTCAAATGGTATTTCTGGTTCTAGGTCCTTGTGGAATTGCTACACTGTCTTCCACAATGCTTTAACTAATTTACATTCTCACCAACAGTGTAAAAGCATTCCTGTTTCTCCACAGCCTCGCCAGCATCTGTTGTTTCTTGACTTTTTAATAATTACCATTATAACTGGCATGAGATGGCATCTCATTGTGGTTTTGATTTTCATTTCTCTAATGATCAGTGATGTTGAGCTTTTTTCCATATGTTTATTGGTTGCATAAGTGTCTTCTTTTGAGAAGTGTCTGTTCATGTTTTTTGCCCACTTTTTAATGGAGTTGTTTGGTTTTTTTTCTTGTAAATTTGTTTAAGTTCCTTGTAGATTAGGTCTTTGTCAGCTGGATAGATTGCAAAAATTTCTCTCCCATTCTGTAGGTTTTCTGTTCACTCTGATGATAGTTTCTTTTGCCGTGCAGAAGCTGTTTAGTTTAATTAGATCTCGTTTGTCAATTTTTGCTTTTGTTGCAATTGCTCTTGATGTTTTTGTCATAAAATCTTTGCCCAGGGCTATGTCCTAAATGGTATTGCCGAGATTTTCTTCTAGAGTTCTTATAGTTTTGGGTCTTACATTTAAGTCTTTCATCCATCTTGAGTTAATTTTGTATAAGGTGTAAGGAAGGGATTCAGTTTCGATTTTCTGCATTGGCTAGCCAGTTCTCACAGAACCATTTATTAAATAGGGAATCTTTTCCCCATTGCTTGTTTTTGTCAGGTTTGGTGAAGATTGGGTGCTTGTAGATGTGCAGTCTTGTTTCTGAGTTCTTTATTCCGTTCTATTGGTCTATGTGTCTGTTTTTGCACCAATGCCATGCTATTTTGGTTACTGTAGTCTTGTAGCATGGTTTGAAATTGGGTAGCATTATGCTTCCAGCTTTGCTCTTTTTGCTTAAGATTCTCTTGGCTATACAGGCTTCTTTTTTGGTTCCATATGAATTTTAAAGTAGTTTTTTCTAACTTTGTGAACAATGTCAATGGTAGTTTAACGGGAATAGCATTGAATCTATAAATTACTTTGGGCATTATGGCCATTTTTACGATATTGATTCTTCCTCTCCATGAGTATGGAGGGTTTTTACATTTGTTTGTGTCCTCTCTGATTTCCTTGAGCAGTGGTTTGTAGTTCCCCTTGAAGAGGTCCTTCACTTTACAGTACTTGTTAGCTGTATTCTCAGGTGTTTTATTCTTTTTGTAGCAATTGTGAATGGGAGTTCATTCATGATTTGGCTCTCTACTTGTCTACTGTTGGTGTATAGGAATGCTAGTGATTTTTGCACATCGATTTTGTATCTGAGAGTGCTGAAGTTGCCTATCAGCTTAGGAAGCTTTTGGGCTGAGACGATGGGGTTATCTAGATATAGACTCATGTCATCTGCAAAAAGAGGTAGTTTGACTTCCCCTTTTTCAATTTGAACACCTTTTATTTCTTTCTTTTGCCTGATTGTCCTGACCAGAACTTCCGATACTATGTTGAATAGGAATTGTGAGAGAGGGCATCTTTTTCTTGTGCCAGCTGTCAAGGGGAATGCTTCCAGCTTTTGTACATTCAGTATGATATTGGCTTTGAGTTTGTCATAAATGGCTTTTATTATTTTGAGGTATATTCCATCAATACCTAATTTATTGAGAGTTTTTAACATAAAGGGATGTTGAATTTTATCAAAATCCTTTCCTGTGTCTATTGAGATAATCATGTGGTTTTTGCCTTTAGTTCTGTTTATATGATGAATTATGTTTATTGATTTGCATATGTTGAACCAGCCTTGCATCCCGGGATGAAGCCAATTTCATCGTGGTGGATAAGCTTTTTGATGTGCTGCTGGATTTGGTTTGCCAATATTTTTTTTGAGGATTTTCACATCAGTGTTCATAAGGGATATTGGCCAGAAGTTTTCTTTATTTGTATCTTTGCCAAGTTTTGGTATCAGGATGATGCTCGCCTCATAAAATGAGTTAGGGAGGGTTCCCGCCTTTTCAATTTTCTGGAATAGTTTCAGAAGAAATACTACCACCTCCTCTTTGTGCCTCTGGTGGAATTCAGTGTAAATCCATCTGGTCCTGGGCTTTTTTTTTTTTTTTTTGGTTGGTAGGCTATTTATTACTGCCTCAATTTCAGAACTTGTCAGTCTATTCAGGTATTCAACTTCTTCCTGGTTTAGTCTTGGGAGGGTGTATGTGTCCAGGAATTTGTCAATTTCTTCTAGATTTTCTAGTTTATTTGCATAGATGTGTTTACAATATTCTCTGATGGCTGTTTGTATTTTTGTGAGGTCAGTGGTAATATCCCCTTTATCATTTTTTATTGTGTCTATTTGACTTTACTGTCTTTTCCTCTTATACTAGTCTAGCTGGAAGTCTATTTATCAATTTTTTCAAAAACCCAGCTTTTGGATTCCTTGAGTTTTGGAGGCTTCTTTTTGTATCTCTCTCTCTCCTTCAGTTCTGTTCCAATCTTGGTTATTTCTTGTCTTCTGCTAGCTTTGGACTTTGTTAGTTCTTGGTTCTCTGGTTCTTTTAGTTGTGATGTTAGGATGTAGATTTGAGATCCTTCTAGCTTTTTGACTTGGGCATTTAGTGCTATGAATTTCCCTCCTTGACACTGCTTTAGCTGCATTCCAGAGATTCTGGGGTATATCTTGTCTCTGTTCACATTGATTTCAAAGAACTTCATTTCTGCCTTAATTTCATTATTTACCCAGGAGTCATTAAGGAGCAGGTTGTTCAATTTCCACATAGTTGTGTGGTTTTGAGTGGGTTTCTTAATCTTGAGTTCTAATTTGATTGTGTTGTGGTCTGAGAGACTGTTTGTTATGATTTCAATTATTTTGCATTTGCTGAAAAGTGTTTTACTTCCAATTATGTGATCAATTTTAGAGTAAGTGCCATATGGCACTGAGAAGAATATATATTAGTTGTTTTTGGGTGAAGAGTTCTGTAGATATCTATCAGGTCCACTTGGTACAGAGCTGAATTAAAGTCCTGAATACCTTTTTAAATTTTCTGTCTCAATGATCTGTCTAATATTGACAGTGGGATGTTAAAGTCTCCCACTATTATTGTGTGGGAGTCTAAGTCTCTTTGTAGGTCTCTAAGAATTTGTTTTATGAATGTAGTTGCTCCTGTATTGGGTGCATATATATTTAGGATAGCTAGCTCTTCTTATTGAATTGAGCCCTTTACCATTATGTGATGCCCTTGTCTTTTGTGATCTTTGTTGGTTTAAATTCTGTTTTGTCAGAAGCTAGGATTGCAACCCCTGCTTTTTTCTGCTTTCCATTTGCTTGGTAAATTTTCCTCCGTTCCTTTATTTTGAGCCTAAGAGTGCCTTTGCACATGAGATGTGTCTCTTGAATACAGCACACTGATGGGTCTTGACTCTATCCAGCTTGCCATTCTATTTCTTTTCATTGGGACATTTAGCCTATTTACATTTAAATATTGTTATGTGTGAATTTGATCTTGTCGTCATGATGCTAGCAGCCAGATCTCTCATGAACATAGTCACAAAATATTAGCAGGTTGAATCCAGAAATATATAAAAAGGACACACTTGGGCACATTCTAGGAAGGCAAGGCTAGTTCAACATTCAAAATCAATCCGTAAAACTCTTGATCTCAATGGACTAAAATAGTGCAATTATATAATTATCTCAATACATGCAAAAAAGTGTTTATAAAATTCAACATGTATCATCATAAAAAATGTCAGCAAAATAGGAATAGAAAGAAACTTCCTCAATCTGATAAATCTTATTTATAAACAACCTACAGTTAGCATCATTTTTAATGGTAAAGAATCAAATGCTTCCCCCCTAAGGTTCTAGCCAGTGCTAGAAAAATAAAATATGTAAATTTAGCTAGGTTTCAAGATAAGGTCAATATGAAAAATAGTTTTTCTATTAACTAGCAAGAAATAGTAGAAAATTTAAAATGTTAAAAATACAATTTGAAATACTTAGTGATATAAGACCTGTACATTGAAATAATGTTATTAAATACTGAGAGAAATTATGGTAGAATAAATAAAGAAACAGATTATTCTCATGGCTGGAAAGAGTCAATATTGCTAAAATGTCAGTTATCCCCAGATTAGTCTGTAGATTGAACATAACCTAAACAAAACCTCAGTAGCCTTTTTTGGGAGTAGAAATTAACAAGTTATATAAAAATGCAAAGGACCTAAAGATGATTTTGAAAAAGAATAACAAAGCTGGAAGAGCCACACTATTTAATTTTAAGACTTATTCTAAAGCTACAGGAATCAAGACCGTGCAATACTGGTATAAGAATAGACATATAGACCAAAGGAAAAGACAAAGAAGTGCAGAAATAGACCCACAAATATAGAGTCAATTGATTTTCAACAAAAGTGCCAAGGTAATTCAATGGAGAAAGGATAGCTCTTCAACAAATGGTGCTATAACAATTGGACATTCATACATCAAAACAAATGAACCTGGACCATTACTTCATACCATATAAGAAAATTAATTTGAAATGGATTATAGACCTATATGTAAGCCAAAATTATAAAACTTCTAAGAAAGCATAGGATAAAATTATATTAGCTTGAGTTAGGCAAAGCTTCTCAGAAATGACACAAACATCTCAAACCATATAAGAAAAATTTGATACATTGGATCTCATCGAAATTAAAATGTTTAGCCCTTCAAAAGATGTCATATGAATATATCTCAATAAAGCTGCTATAAAAAGATAAACTTTTTTTCATTTCTTTCTTTTTTCTTTAAGATAGGTTCTCACTCTTTTGGCCAGGCTGGAATGTGATGATGGCACGATCTCCGCTCACTGCGACGTCCATCTCCTGAGTTCAAGTGATTCTCCTGCTTCAGCCTCCAGAGTATCTGGCATTACAGGCATGCGCTAATTTTTGTAGTTTTAGTAGAAAAGGGGTTTCCATGTTGGCCAGGCTGGTCTCAAACTCCTGACTTCAAGTGATCCACTCACCTCGGCCTCCCAAAGTGCTGGCATTACCATGCCTGGGCAAAAAGATAATATTAAGAAAAAAATTTAAAGCCACAGACAGAAACATTTTAGAAAATTCTATATCTGATAACTTGTATCCAGAATATATAAAGAACTTTGACAGCTCAATAATAAAAATATTTTTTTAAATTGAACTAAAAATGATCAAAACATTTAAACAGTTTCACCAACAAATACATATTAATGAAAAATTTGTTCATTAAAAGATGCTAATTTGAATTTAGGGGAATGTAAATTAGGATATGACAAAGTACCATTGCACACCCACTAGAATATGTAAAATTGTAAGAAGTGACATTATCAAACATTGACAAGCATGTGGAGCAACTGAAACTCTCTTACATTGATGGTGGGAATGAAAAATGATAAAATGACTTTAAAAGTGAAAGGGAAACCCCTTTCACTTGACTCTCATTCTCTCTCTTGCCTGCTGTCATCTAAGACATGACTTTCGCCTTCTGCCGTAATTGTGAGGCCTCCCCAGGCATGTGGAACTGAGTCCATTAAACCTCTTTTCCTTTGAAATTTACCCAGTCGTGGGTATATCTTTCTTTCTTTCTTTCTTTTTTTTTTTTGAGACAGAGTTTCATTCTTGTTTCCCAGGCTGGAGTGCAATGGTGTGATCTCAGCTCACCACAACCTCCGCCTCCTGGGTTCAAGCAATTCTCCTGCCTCAGCCTCCTGAGTAGCAGGGATTACAGGCATGTGCCACCACCACACCCAGCTAGTTTTGTATTTTTAGTAGAGACGAGGTTTCTCCATGTTGGTCAGGCTGGTCTCGAATTCCCGACCTCAGGTGATCTGCCCACCTCGGCCTCCCAAAGTGCTGGGATTACAGGCATGAGCCACCACACCCAGCCAGTCTCAGGTATATCTTTAACAGCAGATGGAAACAGACTAATACACAGTCCCTTCCATACCTGGAAATGTCTTAATCATTTCTTGTTCTCAGCTAAGCCATTGTTTTCTTTAGGAAATCCTCAGTAACCCCACTCCTGCACAGGGGCCCCCTTTCAGAATATTCCCATAGCACCTTGGCTTCCAGGTATGTTAGTACCTACTACTCTATTATAATTGCTTGTTTTCCCCATTACTCTCTAAGTTCCATCTCACCGTGGTAGCAGTTGTCATAATAATGTCTTAGTGCATTCAGGCTGCTAGAGCAAAATACCTTAGACTGGGCAATTTATAAACAACAGAAATGTATTCCTCATAGTTCTGGAGGCTGGGAAGTCCAAGGTCAAAGTGCCAGCAGAGTCAGTGGCTGGTGAGGGCCACACTCTGCTTCAAAGATGGTGCCTTCTGGTTGTGTACTCATAAGACAGTGGGGGCAAAAAAGCTCCTTCAGGCCTTTTTCATAAAAGCATGAATCCCATACATGAGGGCTTTGCCTCATGACCTAATAACCTCAAAAAGCTTTCACCTCTTAATATTGCATTAGAGGCCGGGCATGGTGGCGCACATCTGTAATCCCAGCATTTCAGGAGGCCAAGGCGGGCAGATCACCTGAGGTCAGGAGTTCAAGACCAGCCTGGCCAACATAGCGAAACCCCATCTTTACTAATAACACGAAAAAAAATTAGCCAGGCATGGTGGCACACACTTGTAATCCCAGCTATTCAGGAGGCTGAGGCACGAGAATTGCTTGAACCCAGGAGGCAGAGGTTGCAGTGAGCTGAAATCCTGCCACTGCACTCCAGCCTGGGTAACAGAGTGAAACTGAAACTGTCTCTCTCTCTCTCTCTCTATATATATATATATATATATAAATTTTTTTTTGCCCCTTCAGGGTGGGCCCATTCACAGTCACATTTTACAGATGAGGAAACTGAAATATCGAAAAGCAAGTAACTTACTCGAAGTCCTTGAACCCAACATTCTCCAAAGAATATTAACAAACAACAGCTGTTTATTTCATTGTCCCTTGTTCATAGCATAATCCTGTCAGGGAATAGATGTTCAGTAAATGTTTGTGGAGTTGATCTGATGTGAGGATTACAGGCATGAGCCGCTGTGCCCAGCAAATAAAAAATACTTTTTAAAAATCAAAGTGGCTGGGCAAGGTGGCTCATGCCTGTAATCCCAGCACTCTGGGAGGCCAAAGGGGGCAAATCACCTGAGGTCAGGAGTTCGACACCATCCCAGCCAACATGGTGAAAGCCCATGTCTACTAAAAATACAAAAATTAGCTGGACTTGGTGGTGAGTGCCTGTAATCCCTGCTACTCTGGAGCCTGAGGCAGGAGAATTACTTGAACCTGGAGGCCGAGGCTGAGGGGGCCAAGAGCACGCCACTGTACTCCAGCCTGGGCGACAGAGCAAGATTCCATCTCAAAAAAAAAAAAAAAAAAAGCTAAAAGATGGTCAAAATATTTGAACAGACAGTTTCACCAAAGAATATACAGTAATAGCAAATTAGTTCATTTAAAAAATGCTAATAGGAATTTAGTATGATCGAGTGCTGCTCAGTACAGCTCCAAGAAGCTATTTTATTTCCAGGGGACATGTCCTAGACACAGCCCTAGAGTCAACCGTGTGCTGACCTGCCGATCTTCCCACTTCTTCCCCAAATGATTCCACATACCATCCTCACCTCACCTGCACTGGCTGGCTCTCTCTTGTGGTCATGCAGTGGGATTCCTGAAGACCTTCCTGGAAAGCTACTAAGGCAAGTTCATGCATCTGAATAATGGAGGTGCCTCTGAGGGGGTCGCTCACCCTGCCTGGCAGCCATTCAGAGAAGGATCCTCAGAGAATATCCCAGAACTGGGTGGGTGGGACAGCAGTGGCTTCCAGCCTCAAGTGCACAGTAGTAACCCCTGCTGAGTTTTCAAAACACCAATGCATAGAATGCACCCTAAATTAATTAAATCAGAATTCCTGGGGGTATGACCCAGGCATCAGTATTTTCTAAGCTTCCCGGAAGATTCCACAGTCAAGTCCCACTGCAGAGGCACTCAAGCTTGTTCCCTGTCTCTGGCCTTGGTCCCCTGGCCTAGAGTTTGAGAACAGTGGATGTCTGCCATGTGAGATGGGACGGGTGAGCCCTGGAGAGCAAGCAAGACC